TCAGTGATTCTGTACCATTCTTTTAATTAAGGAGCTGCTAAGCTTTTGGACAGCTAAAAAATAAAATAAAAATTACAAAAGGAAGAAAAGGAAAAAACCCTGACAACATTCATTTTCGTATTTAATTTCCCATGACCGTGTCACGAACACGGACCCCCGTTCCACACTGATGTACACAGCCTTGAGTCACCGTTGCGCTCACTCTCTAAGCCAAGTCTCTGCTTGTCCAGCACTTTATGCCTGTACAAGAGATGGGTCCTGGCATTATTTTCAGTAACAGACCATGCTACCAAGCGCAAGGCGACATCCACCTTCCCCAAGGACAGCTCCTTCCCAGGGCTGCAATGGGTAAGCCAAAGAACAAGGGTGCCAAGACTAACCCTGGTACATGCACAACTGGACGCCTCCAAGTCACGTGGCATAATCACCTGCCTGCACGGCAGAATTCAGTGTAGCACCCAAGAGAAATGTTCCGAAACCAGTCATTACCCGAATTTCAAATTCCTTTTTCCTGTTTTCCTTCCCAGCCAAGGCACAGTAAGAACAACAGTGCAGTGCTTGTTGTTGGCTTAGCCCTGAGATGGGAATCAAAAATTGCAGAGAGCTGCCATAGCAAAGTCAGCCCGTTTGTGGAGCACATACCACTTTGAGCGTAAAAAGCTGACAGCTCCTTAAATGACTGTCACTCTAGTGCACTCACAGTACAAAGTTAAAAAGCAAGTCCAATACATAATCCCTCTACTATAAAAATGGCTCAATTTGAGGAGAGGAGGAATTTTTTTAATGCTGTTTTCCCACCAGGACCAGGCAATTTTTTTTTTTCTTTCGTGGAATGATCTCCAAGCTCTCATTACTGCTGGTCCAAAACATTTATTCCTGCCCACTCAAATCTGCCAAAAGAGAAATGAATCATATGTCAATAAAACTCAGGGTCCTGAACATGCATTTCAGAATTGATCTTAATGGCAAAATGTGTGAATCTGAACCCAGCTACAGCAAGGCCTGCCAATTTCATTCATGGTAATCAAGCAAAGCCACACACATTTAAGGGGATATTTAAGGAGCGCAGAGTGTTCCTATGGGGACTGGACTCAAGAGCTACTCTGTGAGCAGCTACTGTGCTTTAGAAACAAATTAATTATCCTGCAAGAATACGCCTCCCAGAACTACCAAGCATAAAGAATTTGGCAATACCTGCACTGACATTTTCTATGAGGAAAAGTCCTTCTGCTTAGTTGCTGGCTCTGATGATCCATTGTACAGCAGCTCTGCCGTGCCTCTGCTTTGGGCTCAGTCCCCCTCAGTGCTCGATGAATGGTCCAAACTATAAAAGCGTTTATGCACAGGTACGGTCTTTTGCCTGTAAGCGTAGCATCAAGTGGTTTATTGCACTGATTCCTCAAGGCTGAGAGGACAGTACGCTGCTCACCCATATTCAGGTTCTCCAATGATCCATTCCTGACATAAGGAATATGGCAATGCTGCACAGCTCACCTTGTTACACCCAAGGTTGTTGCTGTTAGCCAACGAGCAGCTCCATGAGGTGGTAATGAAGATACTCTGCTATTGATGACAGTGGGCCTTCACCCACTGAGGAGCTATACGTCCCACCCATAGGCCTCAGGAGCTTATCCTGGTCCAGCTCGCAGTGCAGTGAACAGAGTTGTTGGTTGCAGAAGCTGGACCATGCCTCAGCCTGGGAGAAACCCACCCATCCCTGCCCACACCACATGCACCAGAAGATTGCTGCCACCCCCTATCTTTTTCAACAGGGCTCACTTGCCTGGCAGTGTCCTGTACTGGGGCAGTGTGCCAGTCTGGGCTTGATGGCCTCAGCCTGATGGTGAGACAAGGACTCAGCACCTGCCTTTATCAGCACGCTCCACACTTCATGGCAATGGCTTCTAGGTGGATATAGCAAGCGCAAAACTGATGTTCATCTTAGCCAATACCTTTTAGGCCACTTTCTCTGCTCTTCCACAAACCTCACCCCATCCTACTCCCACCAGTATGAGGAGAAAACCTTCTCCATAGCTCCTGCCATCTGGATTCACTTTCCTCCATTTCTCCAGCTCATCGTGTTTCTGTCTATAAATGCCAGAAAAAAAAAAAATCACATATTTTGTGTCTTTCATCTTTACACATCACATCTATGACTGCCTATTTTTCTCTCCCTCCTATTACTGGTTTTCCAAGCACCTGCTTCAGCCTTTTCTCCAACACGATCTTTATCACTGGGGGGGTGCTGCTGCCAGCTGCTGCTCTGTGTCAGGGCCCTGGGCAGTCAACTCAGCCTGGAAAATTTGCATCAAATAATAGTCAGAAATGCACTGTCACAGCTTTGCACTGCTCTCCAGAATCCAAGGACACCTTCTGCAAAATAAAACACTATTGCATGTAGATTTTTTTTGTCCCCATCTATCACGATCTCACAACACAAAGTACACGTCAGCAGACTAAGATTCAACCCAACAAGAAACTAATAAAGGGTGTCTGTTCCTCAACTAATCAAGCAAAAAAGTGAGAAGTATAAAAAAAAATAATTGTCAACATGTCAAATCTTCCAAATAGCATTTTAAAAAAAACCTCATAAATTTCTAGCACAAGCATCACTGTTATTGAAAGACATTAAAGTGCAGTTTTTTGAAGTAATAAGCTTTATTGTTTTACTTCTTGCAGGACCTATTTTAAGCCTTTGATCAATGCACTTAATCTCTACTAAGAGAAAATACACCTTATTCAATGAACTTTAAAAATCGTATAACTGAGAAAACATGGGAAGATGGTACCAAACATCCTTCCTGGATGTCCCAATACAAGTATCACTATTCTCTGCAGTCGCAGTCTGCCAGCTAAGGCAAAATGAGCAAGGAAGTATGAAAAGGCCAAAATAAGGCAGTTCACTAATCAAGGTGAAAGGGACTTTTTCCTTAAATGAAGTTTTGCCTTTATCTGCATGCTATCACAGAGAAAAAGGCTGGTAGGGTTAGGCCTGCCCACTCAAAGGGAGTTTTCTCTTCTTCTTCCTTTTACAAATATCAGAAATGCCAATTTCTGCAGAAATAATTTATCTTGAACCCTGGTGAAGCAGACAGCACGGCTGAAAACAGCAGAATCTTTCAAAGAAACTCTGGAGAGGGCAGGAGGAAGGGCTGGCTCCAAGCCTGGCATACAGAGGCAGAGATGATCTTGTCTAATCAAGGTCTGCATTAGCTGTTGAACGAATCTGTGTTACTAATAAAGAGATACATGATACAGGGAAATATTTATCAGGCAAAAGGGGGTGCGGAATGCAGAGCTGCATGGTGTGAATCACAGGAGGATAACGGGATGTAAAGAGGAGAGCTCTGTCCTCAGATACACAATGCAGAGTCCGTGATGAACCACTAATATCAAAAAGAAAAAAAACTGTAAATGAAGATTTTGGGGGAAAGGCTCAGGCAAGGAGGGAAACCCAGCAATATATGTCCTTGTTCATTTTCCTTATGAACCACTTCCTAGCACAGCTGCTCTCTCATTCCCTACTGCCCCTTCACCGAGCAAAGCTGATCCCGCTGCCACAGAGACACATCTTCCATAAAAACATGCTCAGGGACCCCACCTTTCTGACTTGTGCACAACTTTCAAACTTTACCTTCTGCATGAACAATGTTAATTAGTTAACAATTCTGCAACGCTCCTATTACAGCAAATCTAGCCAGCTCTCTTACAATTATCTTGAAGGTCCACAGAAGGTCTGAGCAAGAGCTCAAAGTGCTCTCAGCCCTCCTGCACACAGAGAGGGGGCAAAGCAGAGTCAGACCCAGCGGACTTTGCGTATAAATGCTGCTCAATGGATTTTACTTCCACAAGTGTCTGATCACAAGTTTCCACTCCTAATCAGACTCTCGGACTCACACTGTAAATCAGTGGTCACGTCAATGATTTACTGATCATCTTGTCTAATATTTCTGGCT